CACCCATTCTCTTTCTCTTTCTCTTTTTTCATTTCAACCACACAATCTCCAAATAAAATAATATTACACACAAATTTAAAATTTTTTATCACTTTTCCACCACACATTCTCCCATCAATCACTATTCCAAAAATTTTCACATAGATTGAGATTATAATCACGGTGGGGGTAAAATGCATTACTCAATTAAAATATATTATTAATTTTTCATTTTATAAAAAGTTTCGATAATTGGGATAAAATTATTTGAAATTTATGTTATATCCATAAATTATGCGACATGCACACAGCGGAAAGAGTCCCATATTAGCTGATTGGATATTGATAATGTCAATTAGATTGAGCCGATCAAATCAAGCAACTTCTTCTTGGGCTTGGGCTCAAGCTCGATCCACTAAACCTATTTTGCCCCATTTCTTCCCCTCTATGTATAGGCGAGTCATACACGTTTGAGGTATGTTATTCTAGACAAATTTCCTCACACCTCTCGCACTCATCTCCTTATCGTTTCAATAGTTAACTTGACCATTAGAGTGAAAACAATTGCAAGACCTTTGCTCTAAACCAGTTACCTTTGCACCCTAATCTTGTGTTCTATCGTGTACGTGATGCCTATGAGGATAGGAGATGATCGGGATTCTGTTAATCTCTCGATCAGATAGGTTTTGAGGTCTACAATTTAATTATTAAAATGAAATTCCTCTAATTTTTATTAACTTTACTGTCCTTATCGTGATATAAATGTAGAAAGATCATCCTCTTGTTTATGATATCTATCTCTATTCACTTTTTCGAGTCACCCACATTATAATTTTCTTCTTCCTACGTTAATCCAACTAATTTCATTTGTATTTATATCCATGTCAAATTTTTCACAGCTCCATTAATGAGGAAGAGATAGAGGTCACGTTTCATGTCTCTTTTGTCACATAACATTGGTCACATTTGAATCATTGTCAAGGATGAGATATATGCAAAGTCGATCCATTTTTTTTGTATTCGTCACAATTTTAGCCTTTGTTTGATTCCCATTATTTCCAAAATGCATTTTTCTTTCTTCTCTCCAAAATTTTTCCTTATTTTTTAACCACACATTCTTCATCAATCTACTATTCTAAAATGTATTTTTACAATAAAATAAGACTTAAACAAGCTCTTAAAGAAAAATGAAGTTACAACAACTAACATTCACACCACAAAGGGTACATAGTTTACTAATATAAGTAGAGAAATGTGTATCAGGACTGATCTCCTATCCATGGTGGACATGAAATATCTTGCCCACCATCATGTCACCTCACTGGTGGGCAAAATATACACTGGTATATAGAGGTAAAAAAAGTACTTCTATTACCAAATTGAAATTTACACAAGTAAGAGTGACCATTAGTGAAATTGTCTGTGTATTTATATGTAGAATTATGCTAGATGTACAATTTGGTGTATATCCTCAACGACACTCCCCTATATGAAGAGAATATATGTCATGTGTCTTCAAAATCAATAATGTAGATCATGTGACGTGATAGAGTGCAAATCAAAGTGTAAACTAAAGTGTATATGTAGTTTGGTATAAATATATATTACTCTCACTAGGTGAGAGCTTGAATCTTGATTCCTTCTTGCTGTAGAAATAGTATAAAACCAGCAGTTTAACAAAACTATGCAAACGGCACACCTCATCAGGATTAAAATCCTTCCTTTTACCAGTTGAAGAAGGATTCCTTTATTGAATTATTAATCCTTGATGAACCAAACTAAGATCAAGATTTTTTTTTTTTTTTTCATTTGGATAACCGTGGATGTCCAGATCAGCTTACGCACACCTCGACTAATTTCACGGGGTAAAATCAAGAAAATTCTTCCCCCAATGGTAGACCCCCTCCCGAAATATCCAAGTTCGATTTCACAATTCAAGTTTGGGTTAATCCATTTGTATATAATGGATTATCCCTTCTCACATAATGCGCGAGGTTCACGTGTATTTAAAAATTCCGATAATGTGATCCTCATCTCCATTGTGAGTAGTAGGTAAAATAAAATAGTAAATGATTCGGTAAAAAAATTCGGTACATGTAGCATGATCCTTCAAGTTTTTGTTTTCAAGAACCAATTTTCTCTCAATTAGGGTTTTCTGAGACAGAAGCATCATAGGAGAAGATGATTTTCCTAAAGAGCAGCGATGGCGAGACTTTCGAGGTGGAGGAATCGGTTATGGTCGAGTTGCTTACGATCAAACATATGATAGAGAATAATTGCGCCGATGATCCAATCCACATTCCTATTCCCAATGTCACCTCCCCGAGATTGGCTAAAGTCATTGAGTACTGCAAGCGCCACTTCACTGCTGATGGCACCACCGCCATTGATGAGGATCTCAAGTTGTTTGACGACGACTTTGTTAAAGTTGATAGAGGAACTCTCTATGACCTCGTACGGGTATCTCTTCTTTCTTTTTCTGCCTCTCTGCATTATTCTTTTGTCTACTTGGCTCGGCTTTCTTTTTTGCAATTAGGTTTTTGGTTAATTTTCTGGGCTGTAATTCTATGCTTAACTTGTATCTCTGTTTGATCCTTGATTTCTCATTTTGTGGTTTTAGTAGTATAATGTCTTTGTTGATGGCTATCATTTTTTCCTTCCCAGGCTGCGAATGAGTTGAAAATCAAAAGTTTGCTCGAGCTTATATCTCAAACTTCGACGGACATAATTCTGGAGAAAATCCAACAGGAGATTCGCAAGGCTTTTAGAATGACAGAGGACCACAATGCCGATGCGGAAGAGGAAGAAGAGAATCTAAGTGAGGAAACTGGGTATTCGAGTGATGTTGAGGTTCTATATGTTGGCATTGATTTTGATTGGTTAGGTCAGATATATTGTATTGAATGAGCCCTCGTTTGGCCTCCATTATTTGAAATTTTAATGGTTAAAATAGTGTGTTGTTTGAAAATGTGTTGTTAAAAAGAAGAAAAGTACGTGTAATATTATCTTATTGGAAATTGTGTAGTTTATATAAAAAAAAATGAATTATAATTTTTATGGAGACAAACGGGATTTTTCTCAATGATTTTGGGAGGTTCATTTAGAAAGAGTAGGCCACAAGATTTTTTTTCAAGAAAAATGTAGATTTTTTAAAACCTGTATTCCTCAATTGCTCATATTTTTGTACAGAATGTGTCTCTCGAATGTCAATTTCATTTTATTCAAACAACTCTCTCAAATTTTAATTAGATAAAAATCTTGTGTGCTATGCTTAAAAAAAGAAAAGAAAATTAGGAACATGACATGGTCAATCCATCGTTTGGCATGACTTTAAAAAAATTAAAAATTGCTTATAATATTAAGCCTCTATTGGACATCCTTAAAAACATTGGTTTGAATGGTTTTTTTTGGGGGGAATGTGATTAAAAAATAGTGCAATTTTTTGAATTTACGTTCATAATATTTTATTGTGAGAATGTACATTTGGAAATGAGTATGATAAATAAATTAAGTATATGATGTCAAATAGGAGCTAAGAACAATCATGTAGAGATGACAAACGGGCTGAGCGACTCGTCCGCTCGACCGCCGCAAGCCATTCATGCCTTGTCGAGCCCACTAGCCAATTTAAAAAAAAGGTGAAAAAGTAAAAAAAAAAAAATCAAAAAGCTCGTGGACTCGCGGCTCGACTCGTGAGCTCAGAAGCTCGTGGGTTAAAAGTCAGCTTGACCCGGCCCATTACCATGACTACAATCATGCTATACATTACAAGAAAAGTTTGACAGAAATTTTGATATAATGCAACTTGACATTTTATCATTAGACTGTTTAAAACACGATCAACTTTTCCATCAATTCATCTTCTACTACCACTTCATCTATCACTGCATTTATCAATTCTTTTGGTCAAAATGACATAATCGTGAGGTGGTGGCGGTGTGGCGGCAGTGTGGAGACAAGGTAGTGGTTTCTAGCCGCGGTGGAGGTGTGTGATGGTGGTGGATCTGGTGGTTGCGTGGGTGCTGTTGGTGTAGTGGTGACGGTGGACGGTGGTGGTGATGCTGTTAGAGACAGCGTTGAAATAATTTGTGACCTGCAAAATTTTTGATTTGTGACCGATAAACAAATTGTGAC